TTTCCACAGCGTCCACAGGGTTTCAGCTCATGATGCGGCATGTCTTCATGGTAATACTAGATGTGAGACGTTGTTGCATCCATGCAGTTGCAACTCAAGGAAGGCCAGCTTTTCTTTCGTTGATTGTTGACGTGCCATTGCCCAATCGTGTAGGATCGAAAACCGTCTCAGGCGGCCCGCTTGGTCCACAACACATTCATCGGGAAATGGCAGTATCTCATCATCCCATGTTGCGGCATGTGTAAAAGTAACGTCTACGTGGGGAATCATACGACACTTAAGACTCAAATCTTGTGATTTTCTTCTCAAACCCCAGTGGTCGGATTTCTTACGGAAGTTGCGCATAAACCAGTTGGGTTTCTAGGGGCGCTCCAAGTGAAATGAGAAGTTTGCCACGGGAGGTGCATTTAAGATGTTAGGATGTACTGGGGATCCTCATACAAGAAGATACGACTCATCTTGGAAATTACACATAAGATGCTTGGATGCATAGCGTCTCTATGCGAATTGATGGCATTAATCAGGAAATGACAGTATCTCATCATCCCAATGTGGGGCATGTGAAAAACCGGTCACGCCCTGATTCGGAAACTAAAGCCTCTGATTCGGAAACTAAACAACCTGATTCGGAAACCAAAAAACCTTGATTCGGAAATTGATTCGGAAACCATGACCCCTGATTCGGACGGAATGCAAGAGATCCCCCCACCCCCGCCCCCCACCCCCCCCCAAGCCAACACCCATCCCCCATGGCTTCAAGAATTGTAGTTGCAGTATGTTACAGTTAATGTCCCAATTGGGGATTTTTCGTTTCCGAATCGGGGATTTTTAGCTTACGAATTGGGGAATTTTAGTTTCCGAATAGGGGATTTCTAGTTCCGAATCGGGGAATCGGGGAATTTTAGGTTCCGAATCGGGGAATTTCTAGTTTCCGAATCGGGGAATTTCTAGTTTCCGAATCGGGGATTTTTAGTTTCCGAAGCGGATAATTTTCTTTTAGTTTCCGAATCGGGGATTTTAGTTTCTGAATCGGGGTTTGTTCGTGTAAAGCCAGCGTCCACCAAAGTCTACATGGGAATCATAAGAAATTTAAGCCTTGGATCTTGTGATTTTCTTCTCAAAGCCCAGCGTCCACAGGAGAACACGAAAATCTGCCCTTACGTCGGGTTGCCCTAGAATCACCGTCTACAGGGGATTACCATTTTCTGACGTGTAAATATCCCGCTGATATGAAATCGTCCCACTGCTAGCATACGCAGTAGATGACGTGTATTCTCACCGAGTGGGTTGTGTTAACGCCGGCGCTTGTAGGAGCCTTCTTCGGATAGTATTGACTTTTCAGCTGTCTTTCGAAGGTGCCAATGTTTGGTGGATGTCACCGCTTCGCTCGCGGAATTCTTCACTGCACCTGAGCTTGCAAACTTGTTCTTTTGTCAAAAGGGGTTGTGTGTGCGTGTGACTCTGTCTCAAGATTTGCAGATAAGCTAAGATCTGAGGTGCCCAGTCAAACAAGTCCGAAAGCATACCGTGTCAAAGCGCCTGATGCCAAGCGCCGTGTTCACTCACTTTGCTGAAGCAGCTGAAGCAAGGGTTAGATGCAACGCAGGAACCAAGAAGGTAAAATCATCTGTTGATCTCGAAGCCTTGCTTGGACCTTGGTGCAATGAAAAGAACCGTGTCAGAATATGGCCTTGACCCTCTCTGCCTTAGGCGGCGTGAGCTTGATGCAGCCAGCGAGTACGAGAAGCAGCTGCAAGCCAGGCCTTCCTTGTCTCTTGTGGCAAGGGTTTTTCGAGTCCTGGAGTGATTAGAGAGGTAAGATGCTGCAATGCCAGGCTGCTGGAGCTGAAGACCACCTGATGCCAAGCTGCTGGAGTCCTGCTGGAGTGATGGGGCACCTCTGGCTGGCAAGCGGCTCGAGACTCATCAGCCCACACCAGATGGGCCAGTGATTTCAGACCTTTGGTGCAGCGCTTCTTTAATTCCATTTCTGAATTCAACATGACTGTCGCATGCTGCTAGTGTGGTGATTGCAGATGCAGCCAGCCACCATAGCAGATGATTGGAACTGCTGGTTCCTTAATTCAGAGATTGGGTGGGCATTACTCCTCTGCAAGCAGCTAGCCTGCGCAGCAAGGAAAGTGGCTTGTGACACCTCTACTGAGCATGCCAAAGCCGCTCAGCACTTGAAAGCAGTCACCGTGCTCATACCCGCTGGAGACCCAAGAGGCCCAAGACGCTTGATGGATGTGAGACGCAGTGACCAGATACGACACGTCTTCAGGTCAGAGAATCATGATGCAAATAGTGGAAACGCGAAGAATTGAAACGCAGAGTTGCAGTCAGGCAACTAGGCGCTAGAAACATTTTTGCTTTCAAGCTCAGCCTTCGACCTCTGGCCGCTTTGATGCTGTGATGGCGGGTGGTGATGAACAACTCTACGGATGCCCTTGTGCGGTTGTGGAGGATGTGTGTCACATCCCAAGGCAACTGCCCCGAGCAAGGCCTCCAATGGGACAGACTGCGGCAGGTTATGGAAGGTCTGCCTATGGCTCGTTGCGAGGCGCTGAGGGCAAACAGTGTCGACGACATACTTACTTATCACTTCGGAGACACCCTCAACTACGTCAACTTCACACTGTTCTGGCGCGGCATGGAAGCCCTATTGCAAACTGCAGGGCGAGCGGCCAAGTGCAGGGCAGGATTGTTCGTGTTTGATACAAGTAGTGGTCAGCATGTGATGGCGATGTCTGATTTGTCGTCTTTGATTTCGTGCCATCATTCCTATACCTTCAATCAGTACTCGCTGCTTGTTTTCCCAGTTTGCTGCAGAAAGTTGCAAGCCTTGATTGTGCCAAGGGTCTTCAACAATGGCGGCTTCGATGAGTCCACCCTAGAAGTTATCGCCAGCCTGCGGCAGTTCAGAGATGAAGTTCTGGAGCTATTGAATGGGCGTGATGACGAGTGTTCGGTGCGAGAGCTGCGAAATCTCTATTGTGAGCGGCTCCGGGGCGGGGGTCTCTGGGATCATGCTGTCATCCCGTACTGGGAAGAGAAGTTGCAGCAATTGCCCAAAGATGACGAGATGGTTTCGGCGGACGAAATCTCCGCGGCAATGCTGCAATGGCTGGAAGACCTCCTCGGATATGGGGAGGCATCTGAGGCACATTTGATCAACAACAGATGGCGATAGGTTAAACAAGTGAACACAAAAGAAAGAAAGCATGGATCAGGATGGCTCATCAGATGTCGAGCCGGAGCAAGAGCTGACACCGGAGGCAAGCAAGAAGATCTGAGACGCGCCAAGATTCTGAGAAGAACCTCTCTGTCAGACTCTCAGACTCTCAGGTGTTTACAGCACACAGTTTGCTGAAGCTGCCGCAGGAGGCGCCAAGATACCCGTTTCACCGCTCACTTGACTGCAATGCCTCGCCAGGCAGAGCGCATCACAGGCCTTCCGATTTTGGAAACTAGCTTAGATTTCTTGGCCTGAAGACGACACTTCCAAACTGTTTCTAAGAAGGGAATTGTTTCAGATGCATTCACCTGCAGGTCCATCGTGGCTGACAAAGCCGGAAGTCGCAGACAATTCAGAGGCTGGTTGAATACCTTACAGTCTTTTACTATGCATTTGCTGCCATGAGATTTTAGTAATGTACGCTTAGCAGCACTGCTCCCGTGAGTCCTCAACATGCAACCTCTGACAGCACTTTGAGAGTGGACAAGGCCTTGCGGAACCAACAGATGCTGCTTTTTGGACATCAAACTCAGCAAAGCTGAACCAACCATTATCGTACTCTCGATTTATGTCCTGTACAACCCCTGGCCAAACGGGTCCAAGCTGATTGCCCAGTATGCGGCCTAATGCAAAGCTTACAGGCCCTACATCGCCATCCTCCACCTGGACCCCGAAAATCAAGCTCATGGGTATAGTGCACACCATGCTCTAACCAATCTCGCGTAGTACGAAAACACGAAAAGCCAGCCGACCGCCTCCCGGAGGTGACATCGCTCACCCGCAACCC